TTGTAGAGGCTACCGGTCTATCAATTTTTGTGTTTAAGTGGTGCTTCCCCTACCCTTTCTGATCGCTCATCCTACATCAGTAGTAAGGCTTATGGGATATTTAAAAAACATCTCTACTCTACAACGGTCAAACCAAGTCTGGGAAAGTCGAGGATTTGCAAAGTTTTATCATGCGTCTGGTTGGTAGATCAAATGCGAGCAGCTAGGGGAGGTCTAAAGATTTCTATGAACACCCTGATATTGTAAGAATGGGGACAGCCCCGAATCAACTACGCTGGAAGCAAGCAAACAGACACCTCACATTCAACAAGCATTTCTCTCGTCATCAAGATATTTCTGAAAATGAAATTAACTGCGCATAAACTGAAAAGGACTGAAATTTTGTCCCTTCAAGCATTACACTTTTTTTTCTTTCTAGGACAATAGTAAGCATATTGTAAGCCCCCTAAACACAATTGACGTAGATCACAACCTTGAAGCACGCTCGCTGAGGGCAAAGTACAACGACATTTTTCATATCATAATAGAAGTATTTTCAATGATCATGGTTCCAATTCTATTCAACGAAACCATGGTCATTGTGCATGAATATGTACACAGTCCATATTGGTAGAACGGGTTTATTATATGCACATATCGGCGTTCTTATCAATCATCATCAATACAATTATTCCCAGACTAACATGTAGTATGATATACATGATATAGTCTCTATAGTACGTTTCGATTTCTGAACAGAAGGATTTCTTCTCAGCTCATATTGTATCCCGAGTACTTGAGTTTGAGAATGTGAACAATATATAATAGTCGCACGCAAATTTAAATGAGATAATACGGAACTAAGTTTTATCAACCCTGCATATATCTTTTCGTAATGGTTCATTTTGAGCGAAATCCTTTTAGAAATTTCGATATAGAGCAACGAGAAGAAATTTTTCCAAAATCGTGACTTCGGGGAGCGGGACCTGAGATTCTTTATCTTAACTAAAATAATTTTTAACAAAAAAATTTTGTTTAAAAATATTTTGTGTACGGTATTACATTTAAACCAGGCGCTTTTAATACTTATAGCATTTCGAGGCCGAAGTTCATAGTTTCAGCAAAATGAACAGAGCAATTTATTAAAGCGTCAAAATCTGATCCTTTATGCATTTTGTCATTTTTCTTTCGATTTGGATATATCGTCGGTTGGTGATAATCTTTAATATTAGAACAACTTTTTTGCAGGAGAGGTGTTACATTATGACTAAAAACACGTTGGTCCTTAATAGACTAACATGTTTATAAGGATGAACAAAAATGGGAAACTTGGGGAAAATAGATTCAGACCAGCCATTTTCCCGATTCAAGACCATAGGATTCAAAGGGCTCGACAAAGGGTCGTTGGTCCACCCTCACTATGAATATGGCGGACAAAGAAAGCGGACAAAATATACAGTTCCTCAGGTAGACAAAGGAACATCCTTCACTGCTATTATGTAGAAATGTGTAGAACAGGTGAATATGCATGTGACACCTGTTCCACACATTTTTACATAAAAGCAGTGAAGGGATGTTCCTTTGTCTACCTAAGGAACTGTATATTTTGTCTGCTTTCATTGTACGTCATGTTCATAGTGCCTACTAATTTGACCAGTGGTAGAGTGCACTGGGGCAACACTACAGAACTTGTACTTTGCACATTAAAACTCAGAAGTTTATAACTCGGGGGTGTTGCGGGCGCAGGTCCATAGAAGACAACTAGCTGGGTAATCCAACACCAACGAAAGTGTAAAGTCAAAACGCATTTTATAGCCTTGTAATTCTATATTTTGTCTATCCACAAGTTAGTATGAGATGAAAGATCATGTTTGTTAATTTTTGATATGTTGCATTATGTCATGTGCGTATAGAAGTTGTCACGATATTTATATACAATTTCCATATGTTTACTGGGCTCATAAAATAAAACCAGATAAACATTCAAATGAGATATGTATGTAATTACCATTGGTGAACTATATTATTAAGTACATAACTAATGTTTGATACAAATTCAGGTTCCAAATTCTTATGAGGGTTAATTTACTCGATTGAATTGGCAGGGTAAGGACTGGGGAGACAGACTTCAAAGCCACAGGGCTACCCATGGAAGATGTTCTTCTGTTCTACTTACATTGGAGTCTGGTTGAAGCAAGTTTAAGCCAAGTCATATTCATCATTGTTAACTATCTTTAATCTATAGGCTTTTAGTGTATTAGAATGGCAGGTATCTGTTTGGGGAGTGTATTTAGGAAGCGCTAAGCGTATTCAGTTTTTATGCTCTTCATTCGTAATATTTCACAATTTCATTGTACATTATTTTGCTTATTCTATGCTATATAATACTCGGACATTTTTGAAAGGTTCAATTTACTTATTTATTTATTTATTTATTTCTAATCTTTTGACAGGGTAGCCCATTCACCAACAAGTAGTGGTCTTCCATGGGGCCCTGAATGAACATGAACATATACATCGTTTATAACGTTTATACAGAACAGTTAACAAAATAATACTCGTTTGCAAAATAAACATATATTATCAACCTAGTAAACAGTAATGTCAATAGGAAAATATTGATTAAGTCGCAATTATGTAAATAAGTCATGTTAATATTACAGAACATATTACAGAATATATAAACTGCATAGGTTTTAAAGTATCAAAACCCTTATTTCCAGAATAAATCGGGGGTAATATGTATACATATATACATGTATATATCTCAAACATTGTTCCTATTCCCAAATTACATGCATGCATAAGAGCTAAAAGTCATAATCTTATTGTTCTATTCTTTAGTCACATGTATATAGAAACGGCACGAGGATCGGCGTAAAAAAAGGAAAATTGACTTTCTCAGGAACACCGCCCTTAAAAAGGAATCATATATATATATTTCATAAACCATCGACTCAGTCGTGATCACCTCAGTACGCAAACAATCACACGCCAATATTGATTTGAATGGATACTAGCAACCTACCTTGTATCAATTTTGGAAAACAGACAAAAAGGGACAGAGTTGATAAAAATAGTTTCAGAACTTTGAATGATGCCATTTTCTCCAGTATTCCCCGCAACATCCACATCTCACACTCCAACTTTCCAACTTCCAATTTCTCAATCAGCTAGCATCCGTATACGGTGGACTCTCACCCGACATTCAGTTTGAATATCCACAAACAACTTCCCGATCAGATGCCGTCTGTATACCTTTTGTACCCGGAACTATTAAAATCCATGATGTTAGTCTGTCATCAAGTCTCTCGCGAGAAAGCTAATGGCAGGGCAATCAAATCGAAATTAATTTCAAAGAAATTGCATTGACCATTTAAGAGAAGGTTCATTGATTAAAACCAAAAAAAAATTATTGTCATTATTGCAAAGGTGAAACTTTGATTAGACAAGGTTATCAAAATTAAATGCTTGGAAACATTCGAAGTAATGATTATTATCAATTACAAAACGCATAAATATAGCCCTGGCATATAACCTGAAGAACTCTCCAAACGCTATTGAGATGTGTGACGTCACAATCATGTTTAACATGATTTGCACAAGCAGACGATGTCCAATGACATCTCACACATTTTCAATGCCTGTTTTGTCATCTTCTCTTCAGTTATTTCTTTAATACTTCACTTACCGTCAGGATAAATGTTTATTCAATTGCCTCACTCTAAACCCCGCGCATGGTATTATTTTGATGAAAAATGCGGCGATAAAAAATAAAGGAATCCATCACATGTAAACGAAATTAGACGCCATTGTATTTTCAGCTGCATACACCGCGATATGTTAAAGAGGGGAAAAATGCCGTCCATGCTGTCATTCCGGGGGTTTGTCAATTTGAAAGTTTGGTTTCGTTCACTGTTCATTATACCCCTATCCTGTGTACTTACAAACAAAAGATATTCAGTTATCAAATCGGTTCCATATCCCTAATGGTGTAAAATGCCATAACATTTATATACACTAACCTCATTATAATTGGAGAAATAATAGCATTGCAATTATGTTCATTCTTTATGGGATGTGTTGTGTATTGTTCGTCTTTTATTTTGGCGCTTCACTGCTTTAGTAACATTTGCATTTCGGGAGGTATTTGGCATTTCAGTTTTCCTTCTAATTTGGTACAACAAATTGAGCAGAATAATTATATGGGTCAATTTCTGGCACCGGGATAGGTATTCTACGGGAAAATTAAGGGCCAACTGAACATAATACTTGTCATAGAAATTGCAAAGAATACACCTTTTTGTACTTTCGAATTAATTCTCATTTTTCTAATCTCTTTTGTTGATTTAGGATAAAATCTGATGGATCGTGACAAAGATTAGGTTTTTAGCCGATAGTATCGAAAGCATGAATTTGTCGCTTATCATGGTTTTGTGAAACAAGATATGACTGTCATGGAATTGGTTTCTAACTTCTCACAAAAGTTTGCAACATTGGTTTTGCCGGAAACACAAATACATGACTATGACTGATTTCGCAGCTCAATGTTGACGCTCACTTTACGACAATAGGGGCTCGGGCTGAATCACGACTACACATTTATACTTGAAAATTAAGCCTAGGCTTGACTGCATAATGCATTTAGATGTCTTTTTTCCAGCATTTTGTTGGTCGAAGTTGCACCCTGTGTTGAAATTCCTGCAGCCGTAGTTTAAACTGTTACTGCGCATAAAGGATGATGACGTCACCAATTGACATTAGGGACTTTTAGATTCGCACGAAGACAATGGGGATTGCTACGGTCGACGTCCTTTTAATGCACTGTCATGAATGGAAGTCACACGTATCAGTCCACGCAAATCTAAAAGTCCCTATTGATTAGTTTAGTGTACTTAGGCTTGTGCAGGGAGTGTGCTGAATTTAGGTTCACCCCCGCGCTCGCCTTTATACAGTAATCGTTATTGTTGTTCAATTTCAAAATCACGTTTTATATCTGAAAGAATAGAAGAAAAAAGCCTGCACTTTTGAGATAAATGTTTTCTTTTCCTTTAACAGGTTTAGGAGAACAATATGATTGGGTTACCTTTGAAGATGGATTGAAGCTAGCCAAAGAGAAGTCAGTTTATGATGATAAGTAGCTTACTCAATTTGGTTAAAACCCATACTTCACTTATTAAAAAAATACATTATTTTTTGTTCTTTTTCAAATGGGTGATGCTGATTGGTGTACTTTTCAGGTAGGAAATAAATGATTTCCTGAAGTAATAATTCATGGACCTAATATATCCTGGAGTAAAACTTATGCCACTTTGTGTGGAGTATTGATTTTAAACTTAAACATGTATATATGTTGCCAACTTAAAACATATCTAGAGTCTAGGTATTGTGATCTACATGTGATGGATAAGCCTCCCTAGCAGACCAATTATTCTAGAGGGCCTGATTGGCAAGCATATAGTTTTCATACAAGGTCATCAAATGCTGCACACAATTATATAAGGGTGCATATGATGGGATGGGTTTATTGCTCATAAATTTGCAGTGACCATGTGACATCACAATGCTTGTCAGTAATTATTTTACCTTGCAGTTGGCTTGCTTTAAAAGTAAAATGCTCAGATGCAATCCGAATTTCTTATCGAAGTAAAAATGCTAATGCTAATTTGATATGGACCTAGGAATATTAAAGTTTTTGAGCCAAAGCACAAAACTATGTACACATATGTATGGGGACGGGCTAACTCGGACCTGGGACAACTTGGGCGGTTTTTGCAGGTTTAGGGTTAGGTTTAGGGTTTGGGTTAGGGTTAGAGTTAGGGTCAGGGTAAAATGACAAAAAACTGACAGTTTTTGCAGCGGGGCCGCGTTGTCCCCGGGTCCGAGTTAGCCAGTATCCGTATGTACAGTGTATGTACATGTATGTGTGTATATTACCATGTGATCTCTAATAATATTGTTCTTTCAGCGACAAACCTATGATGTTGGTCATTCACAAGACTTGGTGTGGAGCATGTAAAGGTGAGTAATCTCACACTCTTCATGTGAGATCGAATGACAGACATATAGTGAAGGAAGCAGGAAAGCTCTAGATGTATATGAGAAAACTTTTTGACAAATCTGAAGAGAATAATGCATGCTGGAACAGTGGAAACAGGTTGGGTTTTAATGTGGAACAGCAACAGGTTTAAATTTTAAATGGACATGTTTTATGAGATGTGAGTTGATCTAGCGGTACATTCGGGAGTGTCGTGGTCGTGTGGTTGAAGGCGCTTGACTGGAGATGCGAAGGTCGAGAGTTTGGACACGGCACTAATATCCTTTGGCAAGATATTAACCTGCACTTGCTACTCTCCACCCAGGTGTCAAATGGGTACCCGGTAGGATGCGGCCGTCATTGTTGGTCAAACAGTTTGTGAGCGTCAAGTAACGCCCGGCTGGAATGCTCCCCAGGGGGTGGAGATTGTGCACACAGTGTGTGCAGTCAAGCACTGAATCCAATGACCAGGGTAATAGTATATTTGTAAAGCGCTTAGAGACATTTACGCTATATAAAAATTAAATATTATTATTATTATATTATTATTCACTTGGCAAGCTTTCTGTACCTCGGCACGAAACTCAGCCATGTCTTTAGGATAGTGAGGTAACAGGTCGGTCCCCAGACTTATAGTAGATAATCATATCATGTCTGTAAGAACCAATTCTGACCCACGCACACACACACTCAGGTCCAAATCCTTCTCAACAAACTTTACTCATGAAATATTAGTCATGGAATTTGTTTGAAAATGTTTCAAAATATGTCTCAGAGTGAAGCAGATCAAGAGTATCTTAACCAAATAGACAAGAGCCCCTAAGAGAGCCCTGGACCCCAGCTTCGAAGGACTTTACGCTTTGAGGCCATTCTCCCTCCAAGTTGCATTGTTACTCTCAGGGGCGTACGCAGGATTTTTTCAAGGGGGGGGGTTTTAAAATATTTTGCTCCCGAAAATTTGAAAATCGCGCCGGCCGAAAAGTCGCTCAGTGGGGGGGGGGGGGGGGGGGGGGGGGGGGGGGGGGGGGGGGGGGGGGGGGGGGGGGTAAGCGGACACTTTTTTTTTTTTTTTTTGGAGACCAAAAAAAATCGCATCGACTCAGCCTCCAGAAAAGTTAGCCGTGGGTATAATTTTTTTTTTTTTTTTTTTTTTTTTTTTTAATTAAAAAAAAAAAAAAAAAAAAAAAAACCAAAGGGGGGGGGGGGGGGGGGTTTTAGGTTTTTTTGGGGGGGTTTACATACATTAAAATACCAAAGGGGGGGGGTTTGAACCCCAAAACACCCCCCTGCGTACGCCCCTGGTTACTCTACATTTTCTGTGTTAAACATTATCTGAGACCTTCATTTAACAACTAAATTATTCATACCCTTAACTTGATAATCATCAAACTTGTCAAATATAGCTAAATACTGACAGTGGCTTGACTGATATATTTGGCTACTCACAATCTAAGTCATGGAGTCTTAGCCTCATACATGTTATACAGGCCCAACAAGTTTCAATTCAGACCCTGCATGGAAAAAAGTTAGTGCAGAGCTCTGTTGTAAAGTGACGATTGCTTCTTATCCTGATGAATGTTATCCTATTGTGACACTTGGCACTGTGTTCCACACGTTGATACCTCTCTGTTTTCCTTTCCTGTTTTTACTATGTAGCATTAAAACCGAAGTTTGCTGCCAGTGAAGAAATACTTAAATTAAGCAGTGACTTTGTGATGGTCAACGTAGAGGTAAGTTGTCATTTTAAAATGCTATACATATTATATAATATAATATGATATCTCAGTAGTTCAAAACGGAGTCAAGCTGACTTGGCTCAAAGACAACTCGGCCCAGCTGCAAAAACAGTCAGTTTTTGCAGGTTTAGGGTTACCCGGTACATGTAAGTTAAGGGTTAGGGTTAGGGTTAATTGACAAAAACTGACCATTTTTGCAGCTGGGCCGACTTGTCTTTGAGCCGAGTTAGCCCAGATTCTTCATAACATGTTTACGTATCATGGATGAAATTTTTGGCCAATCTGAAACTAGAATGTGAATGTGTATTCCAGATTTGCCTTTAGCCCCTTATTTTGAACATTTTATGGCAGGAATAATGACAATAGTAATTTCAAATGATACAAGGCACTATCCTCTAGTGTATAAACAGGTTACAGTGCGTCAGTCAATGGAAATATATATTTGTGTATACATGTACCTAAAATGTATAATACCACCCCCCCCCCCCCAAAAAAAAAAAAAAGTCACACTTGGGTTTTGTGCCCACTCTATTCTATGCAAGTGCATAATTGTGTGTTGGCTTTTTTTACTGAGAAAGTATTTTAATTATAATATATCTATGTCGAAGTAATATTTGAAGCTTATATTTTAAATAAAGTATAGCGACTTGGTACCCGTTACATCACGAGTAAGATATGTTTTGGTTAACTATACACTTTAAGTACATGTAGTTTTTCTTTTTTGAAGAAGTGAAGGGAATTAATATTGTTAAAAAATGCAGGGACTTTGTTTCTAAAATTGTGGGCCAGTGGATCAAAAGATTTACTTTAGGAGTTGAAAAAGTAGGAACTGATGTTGATAGAAGTATATATGATGGTACTGAAAGGGTTAAGAGATCAAACTTTCATTGTGATGTTTTGTGATGTTTATCTTCCCCAGGATGACGAGGAACCTGAAGGGTCTCAATTTCAACCCGACGGTGGATACATTCCTCGTATAGTCTTTCTAAACTCAGACGGCGTAGTTCAAAGTGACCTAATCAACACGTTAGGAAATCCCCAATACAAGTACTTCTATTCAAATGCTCTAATGGGTATGTACAGCTAGTCGTGAGTGATGCATGTATATGTTTAGTAGGTTATATAACACACTTCCTATAGATATTGATCTGCCAGATTAGAGGGGGGGGGGGTTGTAAAATGTAGCCCCTTCCTCCAGCCCCACCCAACGTTTCGAATAGACAGGTACAAACAATACCGTGGCATTGCAACAACAAAAAAATATGCTTGGTTGCATGCTCAGTCAAATCTTCCTTTCAAAATGATTTACATCTCCTGAACAATATACATGTACTTCAAATTCAAATCTGCCAAATATGGAGATGAGAATTCTACAAGTAAGGTACAAATAATTAAGATCCCCTGCTAGTGCTAATGTAGGATCTCAATGCCTTTTGTTTTTGTTTGGTTCCCTCACTTCTTAACCAATTATTAAATTGTGCAACAACTTCTTTCTAAATCTTATTGCCCTCTTATTGCCACTTGTCAAATCTTTGTCATATATTCAGCTTTGAATGAACTTTTTCAATTATAATTTCTCTATTTTGATATTTTTTCTTCTCTCATTCATCCCTTACAGTGACTGAAGCAATGAAATCTGCAGTCAAAGCACTGGGAGGAAGCAGAAATGATGAGTTGTGACATGGATCTCTAGTTTAAACTATTTATCAAGCAATAATGGCAGGTGCCCACTCTTGTGATGTAAACACTAGGGCCCGAACTCACAAAGGAGGTTTAACTTAACCCATGGTTACTTTAAACCCTCATTTACATAACCCATGGTTTAAAAATTAGTGCAAAATAGGTGTTGCTTGCCTTGCGCGCGTCTAATATTGGACCTCTGACTGTGTCCTGCTTATGGGTTATGTAAATAAAGATTTAAACCATGGGTTGAATTTAAACCTCCTTTGTGAATTTGGGCTTTTATGATTTGTCTATTCAGAGACAGAAAGGTGCTAACTCTTTCTAAAAGTGTATGACAGGCCTTTTGATGTCCCTTACTAATGCTACTTATCTTGACAATAATAAGACGTTTAAACATAATTTTTTCACAATACAATACAAGTAAAGCACAGGTTCACCATTTTCTGATGGTCAGAATAACATTACCTCATATAATGTATACTATTTATATGTGATGCAGATATCGTTCCTTTGCCACATGTTAGCCAATGTTATTTTTTTATGGGATAGATATAGGCCTACCAAAGGCTTTCAAGATTATTTTACTATTAATCTATACTGATATTAAAAGGGTTGTCATGGAAATAACGAAGACCCTAGTAACGGGTAATTTTGCAAAACCATCGTGATGCACAATGAATCGTTTTGTTAGGTGGTGTCTCTATCGTTTTGTGCACGTGTGTCAAACAAGTGACCTTGCAGAGAGTTGAAGAAAGCACCCAAAATGTTAATGCCCCACTGGCTTTCGAGTGTAAACTTTGTTTGAAGTTAATATTGTACTGTGGTCAAAACAGATATATATATTGTAATGGTTCGTTCGTTCATGTCTCCTTAGATCAGGATATTTATGTAAAGTTCCTTAATTCGATTAAATTAAATTAAATTAAGTTCTTCCATCGCCCGATTGCTGCAATGGCCGTTTCATTAACGAGGGCCAGGTCTTCATCTGTAATAGTGATTCATGCCTTTGAAGATGGTTCATGGTATACCTGGTCAAAAATAATCGTTTCTTTGAGACCAACATCATAGACATACACACTCTAGTATTCAACATCGCAAAGTGGATACTTAGTTAGAATAGGATACTTAGAAAAGGATTTTAGGAGTGATAAGATTTGTTAGGTGCATGTAAATGTTAGAAATATTCTGTAGCTGAATTTATATTAGTTTTTCATAACTTTATATAAAAAAAATGATTGCTTAGTCTATAGGCCTTTATAGTTGTATAGTCTATTAGTATGGGCCTTTATAGTTGTATACTTTTACAGACAAGTGCCTTGAAATACTCATATTTTGAGGTACTTTGTGGATTAATATGACAGTCGTTGACCCATACCATGCAAAACTTCATTATACATATAAAGGTGGAAAATGATTTTTATAAATTTGTGTATGAAATGCATGGACTGAGTAATTACACAAAATACCTATATTAGACTTATGATTCTGGGCCCTGTTTCATACAACTTTTTTCAATAACAAATGCTAAATTGCTATGACAAATTTACAAATTTGCTCTCAGCCAATCAATGCCACGATTTCAGTAGCTTATAAAAGTTATGGTACCTTGTTACGGATGACAAGTTTTGTGAAACAGGGCCCTGGTGTCTGGATAAAATGTTTTAATATCAATTTAAAGAGATTTATATTTATCCAAGCTTATGGTTGAAATTGCATTCCTTTTTTCTACAAAATCATGGACATGCATTTGGTTCTTGTCAAATTGTTACAGATGATTACTTTTCTAATTGGTAGATGGACTAAGCAAAATACATTCTCACAAGCCAAACAAGCTTTACTAATTTGTTGCTTTTGTCTACATTCTATAGGTGACATATTCATTGAGTAACAAAAGATCTTAGTTTGAATTTATTAGGCTGTGTATGTTATCTAGACATTTATATATATTTATATATAGAATGTTATTACACTGCATGAATAAAAAAGAAAAAAGATAAATCTCAATTATTTCGTGGTAGCCTGATATTTGTTTAGGTGACATTCATGGTTAGGGCTAGCATTGTGATTGGGTTACCATTAGGTAGAGGTTTAGGTTAATGTACAGAGTTGGGACTAGGGTTAAACATGAATGTAGAAGGGACTCGTGCAGGAGATAGGAGATAGACCATGGAGCACATGTCATCTGATCTTTGTGTCCTATAACACAGTTACTCTCTCCCTTTCTTCATAATGAGAGAGAGAGAGAGAGAGAGAAGGGGGAGGAGGGGGGGGGTAAACACACACACATCCACGTTTCTGATGTAAATCAATGACTTGTATGTAAACATCAGTATGTTACTACATTTTTAACGATAATTTTGAGGACATATGTTTGTTGGAATAAAACATCTGTTGTGTTACTTGGAACATTATGCAATTACTGTAAAATATAAATAATTGTAGTAAGCGGAGGTAAACAGTAGGGAAATAGAGAAGAATTGAGTGAAGGGAACATAAGGAGTAAGAGCTGGTAGGAGGGAGACAGGTAAAGAAAGAGAGAGAGAGAGAGAGAGAGAGAGAGTGGGATAATGAGTGAGAGAGAAAGAGATGAAGGAGAGAAAGAGAGAGATAAGTGAGTGAGAGAGAGAGAGAGAGAGAGAGTGGGATAATGAGTGAGAGAGAAGGAATGAAGGAGAGAGAGTGGGATAATGAGTGAGAGAGAAGGAATGAGAGAGAGAGAGAGAGAGAGTGGGATAATGAGTGAGAGAGAAGGAATGAGGGAGTGAGAGAGTGGGATAATGAGTGAGAGAGAAGGTGTGTGCGAGAGAGAGAGAGAGATAAGAGAGTGTGTGAGAGAGAGAGAGAGAGAGAGATAAGAGAGAGTGTGGGAGAGAGAGAGAGAGAGAGAGAGAGTGGGATAATGAGTGAGAGAGAAAGAGATGAGAGAGAGAGAGAGAGAGAGTGGGATAATGAGAGAGAAAAAGAGATGAGAGAGAGAGAGAGAGAGAGAGAGAGTGGGATAATGAGTGAGAGAGAAGGTGTGTGCGAGAGAAGAGAGCTAGGTGATTGGGGATAAAGGAGAGAGGAGGTAAGGGACTGAGATACATAATTTTTGTCCTTCTATTTATCTTCTCTTGAAGGACTTTATTCGTTCATATTTTTAAAAAAACAACTATTTACAACAGTGTTTATATACAGAATCCATGCGATTTTAACATATCATATATACCGTGTGAGTCAAAAAAAAAAAAATTTACACTCAGAAAAGTGTTATTTATTTTCAAAGTCAGCTATGAATGAAAGATTATCATACATGTTTTGAACGAGTGTTATGTCCCGAATCGTTTAGTATCATTTTTGTGTAGTGTGTTCACGCTGGGATGAACAGGAGGCATTGTTTGCGAGAGTGCAAGAATCGACTTGCGCAAAAGTATTAAAGTGAGGAAATGACTTGAATGTATCAAATGAGATGCATTGCATACCGGTATGCTTTTTTAGAAGCAAAGTCACACACACACAAACACACGAAAGGAACACACACACAAAGCACACTTTAATAGATGCAGACTGACCGAGTCCTTGGGAGAAACAATTCATTGTGATTCCACACATTTTATTATGGCATTATGATTGAATTTAAATTCCGTTTTGATATAATGGTAAATTTGCGATTTTACAGAAATGTTCATTACGTAATAATGACTTGGCTGCGTATATTTTTCATTTATCTGAGTGTGCGAGAGCGCCGGCGGAAGTGTGTTCGTGTGTGTGCGTGTGTGGGTGTGTATGCGTGACTGACTGAGTTTGACTCCGTGTGTGTTTTTTTTGTATGTATGGCTCGATTAGTTTTCTTAGGGATGTTTTTAGGATCGGATCGGAGAGCGAATTAATACCCAATCCCAATTGTTTTAATAAAACATATAGGCATCACTTTGGGGCAAGTCGATTTTTGCACTCTCTTAAACAATGTCTCCTGATCATCCAAGCGTGACCACATGCCAGACAAAAATGATACCAAATGATTTGGGATAAAACATTTTTTCATAGATGTTTAATAGTTTACTGTTCATAAATGATTTTTAAAATAATTAGGAATTGTGCTAGGTGTATACTTTTTTTAATTTGACTCACTCTGTAGTACAAACATGAAACTAATGTGACATAATCACTAACTAAAATAATGAAATATTTTAGTTACTTCATTTGTATCGAATTTCTTATGATTACATTCCATATTGAGATAAGTGCGAATTTCTACCTTTAATTCGTTTATCAAATACAGCATGTATCTTGGCTTTTCACTTCCAAAATGTTCTCTAATACAGTTTCTATAGATAATAAACTGAGCAAGATTTAGAATAAGATTTACAAGATTCATTTCTCTTCTCTCTATTTCATGACCTATTAAATGAATTTTTTCGTTCGTAAAGATTTTAAAATTAAACGAAGTATCCATTAATTTGAATACAAGCTTCCAAAAAAGCGAAACCTTGTGACAAACCAGGAAAAGGTGGTCAGTTGTATCTGGGATCTGTGTATCTGTGAACTATTTACATATTCTATCCTATTACGTAACTTCTGCAACCAAAAATCGGAAATACACTTTTTAACTTTGCCAATTTGAAGGCGGAGAGTAATTCATTTCCTTTAAAATTGATATAAATGGAATCAACTTCTTTCCAAATACTCTTTACTAAGACTTGTTACACTCTAAGTATATTATTTCTTATCCAGTTTGGAAATACAATTACTCATATCTATTTTTAATATCGCTATTATACCAAATCATTTCAATTTGGATATCTGTTACTTTAAACATACAAATGTATTTCAATTTACCTCAGGAACAAAACATGTCAACATAAAAGTTAGGCCACCTTTTTTTTTCTTTCTACAAATACGATACTGTGGCTGCAGCGAGGTCAATATCAAATAAACAAGTCTAAACAAAGGCTTCTACGGGATTTTGTAGCATTTAATGATTTGAGTAACCATTTCATCCGTTTCATTTCGTGAAAACAGTGGATAAATCACAGATAAGGAATCGTAAAATACAAGTACATCATAGCATCATCAATATAGCAATAACACAGTCTCTTTGAGAAACTCATGAAATAACATAAACTGTGTCATGATCTTCATAACCTATTCAAATAACCCCAGTCACTATTCTAGTCCATCTGCATTATGGCTTTACATAAATACAAACTCGCTCTACGAGTGTCTCAACTAGGCTTCACTATAGCTTGGTTAAACAATTAACTAGACAATAATAAATTCCAAATCTCTACTTAGTGCTTCAGCACTCTCATAATATATTTTAAAAGTATTTGGCAGTATCTTTACTGTTATCTTTGTTCTTGATATAAGGTAAAATGTACATACATCATATTAAACCAGCATGGGCTTGTATTTCTTACATTACATTACATACTGCAAACATCAACATCTCTCAGTAGGTAGTTAAAAACATACACACTAAATTCCATTTAATGTTTCGAAAGTTTGTAGAAATACATTAAATATATAACAAAACTAACCTCTTTGCCTGACTTAATGACAACATTATGACTTTAAATCTTCTTGATGCGCTGGCAGCATTCTGAGTTTTAAATATCAAGTGAATATCAGTAGATGGTGCTATACTAGGCACCTTGCCTAAGGAAATGCTATTACAAATATACATGTATTCATGTCATGCATGAATAGTACAAGAAACAAATGACTTTGGTGATTAAGTAATTTCACGTGCAACTGTCACAACAATACATATCGCTCTTTTTGCAATTAAAATGCAAACAAAGAGGCAAATCCTCAATTTTCTGGATCCAATATTTTAAACAAAATTTTCCAAGCACTTTGAGAGAGAGAAGGAAAGAGAGAGAGAGAGAGAGAGATATTTCTTGATCTTCAGAACAAATGAACTACCTGCATTCAATTACTATTTCAGGCTGGTCTGAATATTCTGAAGTTGGGAGGGATAATGGCAGATTCGACATCCCCTCTTGGAAAAAAAACCCCTGAAAAGTCTAGGTGTCACTTTGCATTTATTTATTTATCACAGCTTATTTCACGAGTTAACTCTTTTCATGCAACACAATTAAACCCCTGCTCCACTTCAGGTATATTTGACAGTTGCAGTGCAACATCATTCTGTACCAGTATTAAAATGGTTGTCACGGAGCTAATCTTTACCAGAAATTAGTTTTATTTTACAAAGCGCCGGATTGTGTTGCACAAGGTAATGATTCCGCAAATTGGTGCCTATTGATTTGTGCAAAATTGCACGTGTGACAAAGCAAGCAAAGTCTTTAACTGTCTATCATGTATTTTCACATGCAGTTACTTGTGCAAAGGGGTGACCCACGTGTTTTAAAGAAATTATACTGAATTTTTCGACAATGGTGCTGGCGACTAATACTAGACCTTAATACTGAATAATATGTATGTTCTTACACAAGCTTACAACTAAATATTTGTCCTGCCTATATAATCTACACGTTTAACCAATCTATACAAAACATATCTATAACCTGACGATAAGAAATGCTACACCGCTTTAAGTGAAAAACAGATAAAAAAGTTTATTGTACAAAAGTATTGAATAAGTGAAAAGTGGCATTTTTGCATTGTAGATAACAGTTACCTTGACGAATTTAGATGTTAATTTACCCTTAATCCCTTAATTTACAAACTATAGTAATGATATAAAAACCACATAAGATATTTACTGTTTCTATAACATTTTGAAAGTAGCTGTTTAAGTTTCGTTATAATTCTTGCATCAATTGAAATAGTGTACTATCGTAGTATGAGCACCATGTTTCATATTGCCAGCTCTGTGTATTACATTACATATCATGTTCATCATTGTTGATCCAGCATGTATCAATGCTGGCACCATACCCAAGCCTCTGCCTCGCTAGGGCTTCCTCTATATTTCTTCGTAAGTGTCTCCCGGATCTGATGTTATGGGTTCCAGATAGGTAACGTCGGTGTTGGGTTTCTTTAGATCTTGGTAGGCA